TAATTGGTCCTACAAATATAGGTTGGTTTTATATGTGTTTATATTTAACAGTCCCCATAGGTTTACGGTGGTGGGGTATAAGTTCTGGGAGAAATGACCGAGCTCTGAGCTTCTGCAAAGGGCACTGAGATTGGTTGGCATTAGCTCAGTAGGGAGATTTTAAGAGAAAGCGATGCTTTTTTCCTCTAGGCTTTAGAAACCAATCCATTAGACTCAGTCAGCCTGCACGTCTCACACGCAGATGAGCGATTTGCCTAAAAATCTCAGTCAAAACCATTCGGAGCTACAGGGGGCGGGCAGGGCAGCAAGCGGGGGTGCCTAAAGCTGATGGATTAAGTCCTTTATCCTCACCCACTCCTGGAATCCTTGCATGTACTTCTTTCTTATAAAAATTTTTTCTTATAAAAATATCCACAGCCTGGGTATTTATTACATGTCCTTATTTCAAGTAGTGATGTCTTTTTCAGTTTATATCATTTCTCATTGGAATGGAGAAAAGAGGATATTTCTTATAGGCATCTTTCCTGATCTCTTTCTTCCCCTCCTCTCCTCTTTTCTAATGGTACGGGATCATCGGGTGGGATTTTCTTCCTCCTAAACCTGTTACTAGCTTTATTAGTGGTCTGTTATTAACTAAAGGAGGGCATGGAGAGCATTACTCTTCATACAAAGAAGAGTAAAACAGCAACAGAAAGCCTGAGATTGATTAGTTAGATAACATTTCCCCCTCTGAAGCACATTAATTGGGTGCCTTGTTGCTCTACCAAGGAGCCCTGGTGGCCCACTGATTAAGCGGCTAACCAAAAGCTTGGCAGTTCGAATCCACCAGCCGCTCCTGGGGAGAACAATGTGGCAGTCTGCTTCTGTAAGGATTTACAGCCTTGGAAACCCTGTGGGGTAGTTCTGGTCTGTCCTGTAGAGTTGCTGTGAGTCAGAATTGGCTCAGTGGCAGTGGGTTTGGTTTTTGGTGGCTGCTACACCAACATTGTGGCAAATATTTCTTAAAAAACCGGCATCTTCCTTCAAATGCAAACTGTAACTTGGAGAGACTTATGGATTTGTGAATCAGTGCTTAATCAACAGGGAAGTTAATTATTGGCTGGCAAGAGCTGGCTATCCTTTCTCTTTATCATCACTAAAAGTTGAGAACCTCTGCATTTGAGTCCCTCATCTGGATGAGTTATTTAACCACTCAGAACCTCAGTTTTCTCATCTATAAAGTAGGTTATGTTAATATCTACTTCACTGGGCTATGAAGGATTCCATACAAGTGGTGAGTCCTGAGATAAGGTTTGGTAGTTAGTGGGCATTAGGTAAATAGTCACCACCATCAGTGAGCATGAAGGAGGTGTTGATAGTGGTCATTGTAGAAGTTATTTATTTATTACTTTGAAATAAGACAAACTGCTAATTTATCTTTGCTCGAGGATTTAGAACAGACCAGCAGGGAAGAAAGGTTAATTTAGTATTCAAGCACTGATGTAAAGACTTCCATCTCCTTTACGAGGTTAAACCCATTGCTGGTATTCTAACTTAAAGAAGAGAGATAGGAGGATGTTCAAGAGAAATCCCTACTTTATGCTTGGGTGGCCACTGCAGTTTATAGTAGTGATTCTTAGCTCTGGTGGCACATTAGAATCACTTGGGAAGGTTTTGAAAATAAACAACTAAACCCATTCTGAACCCCAAACCAAGTTAGAATTGCCCCAGATGGGGCCCAGGCATCCTAATTTTTAAAGCTCCGCAGGTGATTCCTTGGTTCAGCCACTGGTTGAAAACCACTAGTTTAGGAAAGAGGACTTAAAGGATGTCAAGCAGGGCCTCGAACCAGTACAGACATTCAGGAACAGTTCAGCAATTGCCGATGTGAACGAGGGCAGGATAGGCATTGTATAGCAACCAAATATGTTGCTGTGGATTTTGACCCGAGTAGGAAACAAACAGCAGTGCTCTGCTCATAGATTCAAAGTGGCATGGTTGGCTGCCATCTTTGAGCGGGCACCGCTGTCTGTTTCCTACTCAAGTCAAGGTCGACAGCCAACAGATTTGGTTGCTATGCAATGCGTACACTGCCCTCGCTTACATGAACAATTACTGAACCGATCTGAACTGGTTGAAAGCCCTGATTTCAAGTGAGAAAGATCTAGGCTAAGCCCTAATTCTGTCACTTAATATTTTTGCTTTGTGACCTCAGCCAACAGTCTCGATTTGTGCGTCTTAGTTTTCGATGTCTAGAATAGTGATAGCCAAAGTGGCTAAGACTGATTGAGAGCACTGTATTAAGCATTTTGCATATATTATGTTGGGTGGTACAAATGGTTAATGCACTTAGCTGCTAACTGAAATGTTTGAGGTTCCAGTCCACCAGAGGTGCCTCGGAAGAAAGATCTGGCAACCTACTTCTGAAAAATCAGCCATGGAGAACCGTATGAAGCAACTGACAAACACTGTATTTATATATGTGTGTGTGTGTGTGTGTGTGTGTATTTAAGCATATATATTTTTTAATATTGTGTTTTTGGTGAGAGTTTACACAGGAAATTAGGTTCTCATTTAACTATTTCTATACATATTCAGTGATATCAGTTACGTTCTTCACAATATATCAACATTCTCATTATTTCCATTTTGGTTGTTCTGTTTCCATTAATCTAGCTTCCCTGTCCTCCCTAGCCTTCTCAGCTTTGGTCTAGGGTAAATGTTAACCATTTGGTTTCATCTAGACGATTATTTTGAGAATCACAGTACTCACGGGTGATATTATTTATTTTATGGGCCAATCTGCCATTTGACTGAAAGGTGACCTCTGGTTGTGGTTTGAGTTCTGGGTTTAAACAGTATCTCAGGGCGATGGTCTCGGTGGTTCGTCTAGTCTCTACTGGTCCAGTAAGTCTGGCTTTTTTTTTTTTTTTTGAGTTTGGTTCTACATTTTTCTCCCATTCTATCCCCGATAAACCCATTGCCATCAAGTTGATTCCAACTCATAGTGACCCTGTAGGACACAGTAGAACTGCCGCATAGGGTTTCCAAGGAGCGGCTGGTGGATTCAAACTGCGGATTTTTTGGTTTGCAGATATAGCTCTTAACCACTGCTCCACCAAGGCTTGGGGACCATCTGTTGGGTCCCTGGCCAGAAGGGTCAGCAGTGGTAGCCAGGCACCGTCTAGTTGTGTCATATATATTTTTACAACAATAAAAGAAAACGCTATGGAGCACAGTTTTACTCTGACACACATAGGCTTGCCATGAGTTGGAATTGACTCAGTGGTAACTTTTTTTTTAATGTTACGTTTAATCCTTATATCAGCCTTTAGGAGAAAGGGAAACTAACACACTGAGGGATTAAGTAACTCGGCCAAGGTTCAAGGAAGTGGTAGCCAGGCTTTGAACCCTGTTTGACTCCAGACCCTGCAGTCTTAACCACTGTGCTGTTATTATTTTGCCTCCCAAGGTTGTCAAATGATTGGCTAAAATGCTCAATCCCAGATTGGGAAGGCCACTCCCCAGATAAGATTAGACATTAGTTTAAGTACGTATACAAAGTAAAGCGTGTGCTCAGTAGCAATCAAATAGTACAGAAGGCTTTTGAAAGAGCTTGTGGAAAGCTGTGGCTGCCCCACCTTTCCCCCTTTCCTGGAGGCAAGCTCACTTAAGATGTTAATTCTTGACTCCTAGGACGCTCCAGGCTGATCTGATAACAGGAGAGAGGGGGATTGTGCCCTGTAGACAAAAATCCAGTTTGCCCTATCCCTTTCTGTGCTGGTGTTTCCTGCATTCCCTTCTCCTGAGGGCATGTTAAGCCTGCTTCCTAGAGAGACCTTCTTTGGGTGGTAGGGCGGTTGTATAACCACATGGTCAAAGCAGGTCTTTTTGCACTGCTTTCATCTTGTGCTGCTTTCATTTTGTGCTTGCCTGGTTAGAATAGGTTGGAGTGGTTATTGTAAACACGCAACATTCTAAATTCAGTTAGGCATTTATCTATAGATCCCTTCTTGGTTTGGAGCAGAGTTCTACTCTGACATGAGGTTGCCATGAGTTGGAATTCGACTTGACAGCAACTGGTTCTTGGTTTGCAGCTTGCTGTCTGTCATAAACAGCCCCTTTCATTGTTTCCTCTCGAACTTTTAATGAAGTATAATTTACCTACTTCTAGAAAAGAACACAAGTGATTTAAACCAAAAAAAAAACCCAAACCTGTTGCCGTTGAGTCGATTCCGACTCATAGGACCCTACAGGACAGAGTAGAACTGCCCTATTGGATTTCCAAGGAGCGGTTGGTGAATTTGAACTGCTGACCTTTTGGTTAGAAGCCAAGTTCTTAACCACTTGCAGCACCAGGGCTCCACAAGTGACTTAGCTCCTTTTTGAGGTTAGCACTTCGAATAAAGCTTCTGCTTTGCCAAGTAAAGGAGTGATGGCTTGTTTGGGCTTGAAATTCAACCTGAACTCTAGGTATTTACTCTGGTGTACCTTTTATGGCTTTTCTGCCTCCTCAAAATGTCTAATTCCAGAGGAGATTTGTTGGTAAGAATAGTGGATAGACAGAATCCCCAATTTGATAGAGAAGCCATCCTCTGCCTCTGTCTCCTTGGCATTATTCCAACAAAAATGTTCTATGCATGTGCACAGCTGAGTGTGTATTTGTGTGTCCTCATCCCTGAGTATGTTTTAATGCTCTTGGGAGCAGTGGCTTGGTGGGGATATCTGTTAAACCATGGGGAAAGAGCCATTGCCTTGGGGGAAGGATCGGTGAAGTGGGTATTGTTTCCAGGCACAAGTGAGAAAACTTCAGCACTTCAGCAGTCACTGTCACTTTTCTGATATGTCAACTGCAGCTGCCAGAATGCACCCTGGACACAATTTAAAAAAAAAAAAAACCAAAGCCATTGCTGTCAAATCAGTTCTGATCCATAACGACGCTATAGGACAGCGAAGAACTGCCCCATAGAGTTTCCAAGGAGCACCTGGTGGATTTGAGCTGCCAGCCCTTTGGTTAGCAGCCGTAGCACTTAACCACTATGCCAGGAGGGTTTCCATAGGGTCTGGCTTATGTCCCTGTTGGTTTTCAGGGAGACCATCATCTCTCTGCTTGCCTCTTGGGACATATGCAAGCCCACTGGTGCCAGTCACGCGTACATCCCTGCTGGCTCATCCTGGGCAGTGAAATGTTTCTGTTTTCTAGGAACTTGTTTGCTCCAAGGTCCCTGGAAGCCGAGGGAATACTGGCCAGTGGTATTTTGTGGCTCCTGAATGTCTCCTGGTCTCCTGATAGCCTTTCTACCTCCTCCACATTGCATGGTCTAAAAATTATTAGCGAAAAAATGAAGCAAAGCCCCGTCTGTTATGCTTGCTTCTTCTTTATCCCCAGCCTGCAATCTAGGAAACAGATCCCAGAATAGCACAGTGGGTGTTTAGACGTGTATCTCAGCTTGGTCAACAGCATGGAACTGTGCTGGGATGCCCAGCGGCTTCCTCTTTAATCCTTGCAGGAGACAAGGCGCCTGTCAGCGATGACGTTGGTGGCTTTCCTTCCTCCCCCACTCTGGCACTCACCAGCTTACGCTTGCGTATCAGAGCCTCTGTCTAAATCTGACAACGTGAGCAGATTTGGGGCAGAGCTTTAATAGGTCTCCCTCCACCTTCTGTGGCCTCAGCCTGTGAAGCGATTTTGCGTAGCCAATAAGGAGAGCTTGGCCCATCTCGGCAGCCAGTCAGCACAGCATTGCAGAGCCACAGCTCTGCTGGGGTTGGGAGTTGTCAAGCAGTGGATCTCCTCCTTCCAGTGAGAGGACACCTCTCACTCCTGTTACTAGGATGCAGGAGTCGCCTGTGTGTCTCAGGGGCAAGATGACAGCCAAGGAAATACTGTGCCATAGATTCCCAGAACAGGGTTCTTTTTAAAACCCGGTGAAAACCTACCTCCCTGGCATTTTGTCTTATTGAGATTCTGAGGAACATGGGCCTGTAGTTCAGTAGCTGAAGTGATGAAATTCACAAGGAAAAGCCACTGGGTTTCCCGGAGATGAATGGCGGAGCCAGGCCTCCTGCCTGGGTCTTAGTAACGTGGGCTTCTGGTGCCCTCTGACCTGACTTTCATTTGGCAGGGCCCTGGCATCAGTCAGAACTTGGCAGCAGGGAAGGGGAGAAGCAGGAAAGGGCATGAGAGTCTAAGGGATGGAGGAATTTATATGTCAGCCTTCACAGGGGGCCAGAATTCTGAGCCTCTGTTCTGCTTTCTTTTGATAAATGTTTACTTTTTACAATTGTCTGCTTTAAAAAATTATTTTTCTAGAAAGTCTGCCCAGACCTATTGCATGGTGGTTAGGGAATTGATGGTTGGCTTGTCTCTGTATTTGGTTTTCTGGGGATCTGCCTCCCATGTCCCAGTCATACCTGCCACCTCAGTTTACATACTATGTTTGGAAACCACCTCTTCCTACTGTTACCCTACTGTTGGTGAGTCTTTTTCGTATACCCTTGAGGAGTGCTCCTCCACTATAGTGTTAGTAACAAGATTCCCTGGCTAGGTCCAGGGCACTTGGGTATCAGGTTGGGAATTTGGGATTGGAACTTAGACTCCCTGAAACAAAGATTGAGCTGCAAGATGCGACTTAGAGGCTTGGCCACTAGGATGCCCTAGTCCCCGTTTAGTCTAAAATACTGGGGGCTTTGAGATGGGGAATGAAATAAGGCCACTTCTATGAATTTCTTTAAAGTTTGTTGTTGGGCATATGACTGTTCATCAACTTTTACCACTTTGTTGATGACACCTTCTTTATTGCTCTTTCCAGCCTGTGGACCGAAGCTGACCAACTCCCCCACAGTGATTGTCATGGTTGGCCTCCCAGCCCGGGGGAAGACCTACATCTCAAAGAAGTTGACTCGCTACCTCAACTGGATTGGCGTCCCAACAAAAGGTAAGGCCGAGTTCCAAGGCTGGGTAGATCGACTGAGTGCTATGGTCCTGCATCCCAACCCTCTGCAAAAAAAAAAAAAAAAAAAATCTTCCATTTCCAGTTGCTGGTACTGACAGTGCAGAACCACTCTGGGGCTGGCCTGTCTCCCTGTATTGGAATCTGATCCCACCTCTCTTCCCAGCTGTGTCACCTATCACTGCTGCACATGTGCCCTTTCATGTTGGAAATTTATTCTCACTGCCGCTGTCCTCTTTCCCACTCTCCTGAATCCTGCCCAACTCAGTTTTCACCTCCTTCATGAAGCCCCCTCCGAGCACCTCAGCCTATGCAGATCTTTCTCCTTTAAACTCTCATAGCACTTAGTTGTAACATTTCTTTCCTCACTGTCATAAAGTGCTCGGTACTGCTGATTATATTTTATGGTTCTTTGTCTAGTCTCCCCAACTAGATGGGAAATGTCTTGAGGATCGGGACTAGTTCTTACATTTTCTCTCCACCACCGTGACTAGCACAGTGCCATATACATACTAAGTGCCCAGTTGATATTAAATGCACTGGGGAAGATAGAATTAAATAGCCTCCTTATTGATGTTGAAGGAGCCCTCATGGAGCAATCGTTAAGCACTTGTATGCTAACTGAAAGTTTGGCAGTTTTAACCCACCTAGAGGCCCTGCAGGAGAAAGACCTAGTGATCTGCTCCCATAAATATTACAGCCTAGAAAACCCTATGGGGCAGTTCTACTCTTGGGCTCGCTATGACTTGAAAATTGATGGCACCCAACAATAACAGCAACAACCTTGCCTCTGGCTGCCAAGTCAGCAGAAGAGTGACTGGTTTGGACCTTGCGGTGGGTGTGAGACCCACTCACTTTTGGAGACCATTGGCAGAAATCATTGCCCCTGTGTTTGCTAGACTTGTGACTAACCCTGTTCTCACAGTCTTAATCTCTGGTCCATAGTGTTGTGAGTCTGGGTTTAGAGACTGGACCCAATTCATACTGGTGGGGTTTTGTTTGTTTTGATTTTTTTTTTGAGATTGTGTTTCCAGTTGTGAGTAGGCCGCTTTGTCCTGCTTGGTCATCTCAGGCTGGCCTTTTCTTTTCCGTCCACAGTGTTCAATGTGGGGGAGTATCGCCGGGAGGCTGTGAAGCAGTACAGCTCCTACGACTTCTTTCGCCCTGACAATGAAGAGGCCATGAGAGTCCGAAAGTAAGACATGAACTGCCTTGAAGGCCTTGGATTTCGGTTTGCTTTGCCTATTTAAAACATGTTGTGTAAGAGGAAGAGAAAGTTGGCCTGCAATGTGGCTCTCTGGCTTCTGGCTTATCTAGTTAGGGTTGATGGCTATCAGATTTGGCCCCAGCTCTGCAGGCAGCAGCTGCTACAATATAGTTTAGGGTAAGCCTCTTGGCCTGTCTGAGACTCCTTGCTTTAATATGATCCCAGATGTTCTAACTCAGCTGATGTGATATAGATCAACAGCAATAACACCTTGTTAAGAATAATCAAAATAGTTTCACTGAAAACTATCTGTTTACATTTGAGAAGAATTTTTTTTTAAAGCACAGGTGATCGTCAGACCTTAGTGCAATAGTGCTCAGTCCTAGCTGTAGGGTAAAATCACCTGTGGAGCTAGGAGAATGTCCCTGTGTCAGGCCACACCCCAGACCAGTTCAGTCACAAGTTGTGGATGGCATCTGGGCATCAGTTTTTTGAAACCCCTCAGGAAATTCCATTGTGCATCCAGGCATGAGCACTATTTCCTGAGGGTGATTGAAGTACTTCCACACTGGAGCTCACCTTGGGGAGCCTTTGGGCCTTTGGGAGGTGATGCCAAGGAAGGCTTGGTGAGCCTGGCCACAGCGCTGGGCAATTTAGAGACAGAACTTGCAGTTACTCTGCTTATTGGGGTGGGTGAGGCAACTTGCTTGGACTTACCCAATCCAGATGGGCCTTCCCTGATGCTTGGCCTCTCTTTTTTGCATGTTGCAGGCAATGCGCCTTAGCTGCCTTGAGAGATGTCAAAATGTACCTGACACAGGAAGGGGGCCAAATTGCGGTAAGTCTAGGGAATACCATTGACTCGCTTCTGAATCCCATATCAGGATGGCATCCTCAAGAGAGTGAAACGTAGACACTGGCCTGGGGAAGTGCCAAGAACCATTGCTTAGACACCGCAAAGATAGACGGGCGCCTCTGGCCCTGAGGGCTGAGGGAAGCACGAGGTTAGAGCAGTACAGGGGCTCAGCAAGGTGGTTGATGGGGGTGAACTCGAGGACACACCAGCTGGAGTGCTCTGCTCACCCCGTCCTCTGTGCGGTTAGGCCACCACTCAACCGAGGCTTGGAGGACCTGGGGTTGCTGCCAGCCGCAGTAGCTAATGGATCTTCCCCATACCTCCTCCTCCCACTACATGTAACTCTTTGTTTTAAATAACTCTTCCTACCTCTTCCCCTTCTGTCCCTCAGAGCTGTGGGCAGTGGAGAGGGGAGGGCTGGCACAGTGCCGGGGCTTGGGTTCTGCACGCTCCTGGAGAGACCTTGGGCGGTGCACAGTCTCTTCTTAAACCAATATTTTTGGCTTATTCATGGAAGTGACAGGCCTGCCTGAACTACTCGGGGTTTTTGGTAAATATCATTAAACTCAAAATTAGATTCTTCTTCACTGCCTGCCCTTCTTTTTTCCTATCAGGTTTTCGATGCCACCAATACTACTAGAGAGAGGAGACACATAATCCTTCATTTTGCCAAAGAAAATGATTTCAAGGTGAGCCAAGCTTCTTGTCTTCTCCTGTCCCAGAGAGCTCAGGAGAAAGGAGAAACCTTGGGATGGGCCAATTACCATGTCTGGAGCACCTCTGCTTCATACGTGGAATCTAACCTCCTGCCGCCTAAAAATAGGGCCTTCTTGCATTAGGATGCTTAGGGTTAACCTAACTAGGGAGGCAGAATGCTTCCCTGAGTTGGAGAGGGTACAGGGCAATGGGATTGAATCAGTGGATCTTTTACGTATTTGGGAATTTAGGCATGGGGTCCTTCTTTCTTGTATGTGATACATCACAACATCAACGCTGGTCTTTGTTCATACGCATTTGTTGTTTCCTAACAGTCTGTCTTGCTTCCACCCAGGTGTTTTTCATTGAGTCTCTGTGTGATGACCCTACGGTTGTAGCCTCCAACATCATGGTAAGATGAAGCAGAAAACCCCCATTCTAGTGTGATAGCTTAGGCTGCAAGGACATCTGCAATCTGAGGAAAGCAGGCCATGCCCTGAAAGTGAACTAAACTTTTAGAATGAGGTGGTTCTCCCCGTTTTGTTGATTTTGTTTGAGATGTGGGATGCTGAGAGGTTAGAAGTATGAAGCAGTATTTCTTAACTTAGAGGCATGTTCTGTGACCTAGGCTGGCTCTTCCTGGGGTCTTTTCAGACAGTCGGCAGTGAGCCCAGCCTTGTTGGGCCATAAAAGGTAAAGTGGGGAGGACCGGGAACAGTTTATGTAGGTGGCAGTAGCTTGGCAGACCTGGAGTGTGTTTTGGGACTGCTTGGGAGAAACGATACAGAAGCTCAGCCCTGCCAGATGGGAAGGTAGGCAAGAGGCTGATCTCTTTTGCTATTAAGCTCCCTGATAGGTAAGAATGATAGTGTATTGACAGAAGTCTATAGAATTTGTTAAACTGAAGTCAGAGTTTCCAAGTTTGGGAAGAAATGGAATACTAAAATTATCTTCCTTCTAGTGCATCAGAGTATAGGGCCAGTCTCCCCTGTGTCAAGGGGAGGTTGGCCTATACATTAAGGGTAAGTGGCAGCTTAATTTGATTAATTCTTAGATTTTATCAGTTGATAGCAAAATAGATCATAAATGCCGACAGAAGTGGTTGCCATGGAGTCTTTACCACAGGTCACCTTCTCGTGGAGGAGATAAGTTTATGTCCAGTTTAAGTATATCAGAGTAGGATATATCTATAAAGAAAAGCAGTCTTAATAACTTCTACGTGGAACTCTGTGGTATCGCTGTACAAACAAAAACCAGTTATTGTCAAGTTGATTCTGAGTCATGACAACCGTGTGTGTATCAGAGTAGAACTGTGTGGCATAGGGTTTCAGTGGTTGATTTTTCGGAAGTAGATTGCCAAGCCTTTCTTCCGAGATGCCTGCTGGATGGATTCTAACCACTGATCTTTTGGTTAGCAGTTGAACACATTAACCGTTTGTACCACCCAGGGACTCTGTATAGCAAAAGTTTTAAAGGGATGTTAAGCATTCCTTAGCTTCTTGTATTGGACCTTTTCTCCAAGGCAGTGGGAATATTTCAAAGCATTTCTAAAACATAAGTTCATGTTTCAGGAAGGGCAATGTGAATTGTGGAAAATCAGTTCAGATTAGTTTCATTGAGTCCCAAGGAAGTGATTCAAAGTACAGGGAAACAGATGTTGCAGTAATCTAAACAAAGGGGTTTTGCTGTAATTCCTTGGTTTTGCTTTGCTAGTTTCACTAGGTAGTGAAGCAGAGTGCAGCTACCGAGTGATTTATCCCCAGTAAGCTGTCACCAGTGTGCTTAGCCAGATTGCCGTTCATCTCTAAGTCCTTTTTAACACGTTTAGTCATTTGTCCCGACCCTCCGTTTTCAGAAATTTCCGTCTCTGATTAAGCCTCAAAGCAACATTGCGGGTTAAACCTCCCCACTGTATTCTTTATGTGGGTGGCTGCACTAGGAAGAACAGGATTTGTGCACTTCGATTTTTGAAGAGTGGCTGCCTTTCTTTCAAAGCTGTGGTAGTTGTTGAAGTGAAAAAGAGCACGTGCATAAAAAAATTCTGGGTGTCCCCCAATTCTACCAGGTTGCTCAGACCTACTGCTTAGTTACAGGATATGGCTGGTCTGAGTGTTCCTTCTCCACCCGCTTCCATGAGAACAAGTACCCCTGAGCAGGAGAGACACGTGTTCTTGGTAGAGAAGCAAAGGGCTGGTGTTGCACACCAGCTGCATAGTTAATAACAGACTAGTTACAAGTGTTTGCTGCCTTGGTCTGTGGGTCAGAGGAAGGATTGTGCCTGGAATACAGGACCAGGGTCCTCTCTAGCGGTGATGGAGTGTGCCTTTTATAACCCACAACCCACTCTTTGGTATAGGGAATTTTGGAGACGTTTACATGGAATTCGGTTGGTTCAAGGGCTAAGCTCTCTGGCAGTAACTCAGTTCCTGAATGGTGGACTATTCAGAAGTTTTCCTTAAGAAATCCTCGTGGATGTCCTGTCTCTGTCCTCTCTGAGGGCTGAGCAGGCGGCGCATGCCTTCCAGCTAGCAGTTCTCTATCTACCATTGGTACCCTCACCATATAATAATCAAGTTATGACTCAACCCCCGGTTGCTTTCTTTTTTCTTTTAAATACTGGCTAGGAAACCCTTATTCTGAGACTTTCTGTGTGTCCCCCTTTTGAAAGTGCCAAATCCTACTTAATCTAAGCAAAAAGCCTCCCACTGTGACTCATCCGTCAGCTGCCTCTTTGTGGTGTTACAGGAAGTGAAAATCTCCAGTCCGGATTACAAACATTGCAACTCAGCAGAAGCCATGGAAGACTTCATGAAGAGAATTAACTGCTATCAAGCCAGCTATCAGCCCCTGGACCCTGATAAATGTGACAGGTAATTCCTAAGGGGGACCATGTCTGAATTACCCACATTTGGGTTTTTACTGTTTTCTTGAGGTTCCACAAAGCACATGCTCCTGCATACTTTTACAAACTCTCTTTAAAAATGTCTTTTCCCCTCCTCCCTGATTACAAATGCCGTACATCCTAGTCTTGCTACTGTCCCTCTGATATTTTCTTTTCCATTCTCTTGCTTTTCTGTCGCCTTCTTCTGTGGAAATTGGTTGCTATGCTTTTCCTCTCTGGCTCTTGTAGAAAATAGATTCAGTCTTTGCTCTCAAGTCACTTACAGTCTGACTTGGCAGTTCTGTTGAGGAATGAGTCTTCTGGAAGTTGGGCCAGGGGATTTGTACATGAGGTTAGGTGTGCTATACTGACAGGTGGAACTTTCTGATGGCCGATCCTTGGTGGTGTTTCTGTGCAGGGATTTGTCACTCATCAAGGTGATTGATGTTGGTCGGAGGTTCTTGGTGAACAGAGTCCAGGACCACATCCAGAGCCGAATTGTGTACTACCTGATGAACATCCACGTGCAGCCCCGTACCATCTACTTATGTCGGCATGGGGAGAATGAGTACAACCTCCTAGGGAAGATCGGAGGCGACTCCGGCCTGTCCAGCAGGGGCAAAAAGGTAGGAGGAAGCTGAGGGATAGAGCAGGAAAGGAGGGGTACGTCTCCTTTCCATTAGGGAAGTTGTGAGGTCGGTGGGAGTGGGCAAGGTGTTGTAATTCCTGATGCTGCTGCCTCAATGTGCTTACTGTGTGTGTGTGTGTGTGTGTGTGTCGAAAAGGCAAGGGTCTCCTGGGGCTTTGAGGAGGGGCAACCTGGTGTGCATGCAGGAGGCTAGTCCTAGCTGTTAGGGGCTGGAGCTAGTTGCTGCCAGGCTCTTCACCATTCTAACTATAGTAGCGCAACAGTCCTTAATGTGGCGGGTGAATGAATCTAGCCACCGCTTCTTGGAGGATGCTGGAGCCCCAGTATCCAATGTGTGTATTTCCCTATCCTGCACCCCCCCCTCCCCCCAGTTTGCCAATGCCCTGAGCAAGTTTGTTGAGGAACAGAACCTGAAGGACCTCAAGGTGTGGACGAGCCAGCTGAAAAGTACCATCCAGACAGCAGAAGCCCTTAAACTCCCCTATGAACAGTGGAAGGCACTCAACGAAATTGATGCTGTGAGTGCCTGGATCCAGCCATGTGGGAGGGCTGGAGGGAGAGGGGCTGCGGAGGCCTCTTGCCCCTGAGCCAGTTAGAAAGAGGGCAGCCTGTCGCCATGCAAATTGCCCCTGGGCATTGTGACTTCCTGAGATCTCTTTTAGACTCACAAGGGTTGCATTGGCCCTTTTGGGCGTATTCCCTTGAGTGACCTCTGGGTGTTTCTGCCAGGGTGTTTGTGAGGAGATGACCTATGAGGAGATCAAGGAGACCTACCCTGAGGAATACACTTTGCGCGAACAGGACAAATACTATTACCGCTATCCCACTGGAGAGGTATGTGTGCTGGGGCCGGCCTCATTTCTTGCCCTTCTTTTCCATCTGTAATCGTTTGTTCACTCAGCAGATAATGATCAAGTGTATATTTTGTGTGTTGTATGTGGAGAAGCTCATGAAGCGCCTTAGCAAAGGCCAAGAGAGGGCTTCTAGGGACCTGGAGGGATCCCCAAAGAAAACAAAACAAAAAAAGCCCGTTGCTGTCAAGTGGATTCTGACTCATAGCGATCCTATAGGACAGAGTTGAACTGCCCCATAGGGTTTCCAAGGAGCGGCTGGTGGATTCAAACTGCCAGCCTTTTGGTTAGCAGCCTAAACTTTTAACCACTGCACCACAGGGGCCGGGCTCTGGAGGGATCCCAGGTACTGACTAATTGTGCACGGCTGAGTGGTCAACTCCAAGAAAGAAGGACTCTGACATCCAACCAATGTTTTTGGAGCTCCTAACCTGCTCTGGATGCTTGTTGCTAGCACTTTTACCTTTCAGTTGAGTTTTCCTAAACTGGAGCTTGGAAACAACTCTAGGAGAAGCACAGTTGCATTTTCCACTCAGTGAAAAGTGACAGATGTGTTTCTCTAATGACATCTATAATGATATGGGAAAGAAAGATTGCCGATGATTATTCACATGACACAAAGGTGTTGTACTTGACTGCAGGCGAGCTGGTTGACTTGCCAGCTGCATATGTGTTACCTCCTGTCACTTGTACTGATGTATGTTGGTGCTCACGGAGGGACAGTTTCCCAAGCCCGGTGTAAAACTCACTTTGCCTGGGGAAGCAGCTGCTGCAAGCACTGAACAGAGTGCTCAGATGCGGTGGGTGCCTGGGGGTCTGGCCACAGGCCTCGGGGCAGAGACACCAGTAGGGGTCCTTCCTGTGACGCTCAGCATTTGTCACACAGGCCCACACTGGCCCTCACTCACGGGACCCAGGTTTGTAAGAAAAGGAAGGATGGCAGCAGAGGGACCAGTGCGAAGGATAGTAGCCTTGTTTTAAAGTCACAAGCCTACCCGTTATTTTTACTTTTTATTGAGATAAAATTCACATAACATAAAATTCACCATTTTAACCATTTAAAAGTGTACAATTCATTGGTTTTTAGTGTATTCACAATGTTCTGTAATCATTACCGCTATTTAATTCTAGACTATTTCTATCACCCCCCTAAAGAAATGACAGACCTGTTAGCAGTCAGTCTCAATTTCCCCTTTCCCCTCGTCCCCTGGCAGCCCCTAGTCTGCTTTCTGTTCTATGGATGTACCTATTCTGGATATTTTATGTAAATGGAACCATACAGTGTATGGCCTTTTATGTCTGGCTGACTTCACTCAGCATGATATTTCCAAGGTTCATCCGTGTTATAGTATGTATTGGTACTTCATGCCTTTTTATGGCTGAGTAATATTCCATACCCCTTCTCAGCCCCACCTCTCTCACCCTATGTTAAGGATTAGAAAAGGAATTTTCTCAGAGAGAAAGTTTGCCTCTTAGAAAAGTATGTCACCAAATTCCTATCAGCATGGAGATGATTTGCCTTTTTGAGGAAGTTGCTTGTGCTAGGTCTCCCTGGTAAGAAGGTCACCACTCACCCCAGCCCCTTATTGGGATGCAGTATTAAAACATCACCGGGTATTAATTGAGTCAGTGAGTGTTCTGTGGCTTATGATGGTGAGAAAGGTGTGGCCAGCTGGCAGAGCTCCCACCTTCCCGAGTGTGGTTGTGCTCTGATGCAGGGCCCTGCCCCTCTGTCTTGCAGTCCTACCAGGACCTGGTCCAGCGCCTAGAGCCGGTGATCATGGAGCTGGAGCGGCAGGAGAATGTGCTGGTGATTTGCCACCAGGCTGTCCTACGTTGCCTCTTGGCCTACTTTCTAGATAAGAGTGCAGGTACTGCCCATCCTCTGAAGCTTTGTGTGTGAGGAAATCAGGAACTGGGGAGGTTTCACACTCGAGAAGAAGGGCAGCGGGAAGCTGAACTTTGAGTGTAGCATATCTGTATACCACGTCATTTCCTACCAAGATGCTGTTTCTGTTGTGTTGCCGCATGTTTAAGTCAGTGTGCATGTCTGGCCACACAGCCCACAGAGGGGTCTTCTCTGATACAAGCCTCCCTTCTAGCCCTTAGGAAACATTTTAGAATACAGTTTGATACACAGTGGGCTTAGTAGTATTGTAAAACAGCCTCCAGAAAGCCCTTGGTCTCCCAAATCTAAGGGTCTTTGAGGCAAGTAGAGGTGGGGTAAACTCTTCTCTTAAACGCATCCCTAGGGAACAAATACCCCAGATGACTCTAAAGATGCTATTAGCAGGTAAATCTTGTATCTGCCCAAGGTTCAATTGAATCCCAAGACTTACTTAATTGTTTTGGGAATGCTTCTTTTTTTTTTTTAACTCTAATTCTGACATTGTGAGTGGATTTCTTTATTTTGTTCCTTGGCCAGGTAACCTTTTCTGTTTTATGCTAGCAGGATGTAGGATGGCCTGTGTGCTGGGAGACAGCTCCCCTGCCTGGGCCTGGCTTCTGGGGACACGGGTGTGTCAGAAGCTCCCACTGTGGACTGTGAACGTAGATGTCAGTCCATAAATCCCCCTGCCTCAAGTCTCATGTCTAATCATGGGATCATATCTGCTTTCTTTTCAGAGGAGATGCCCTACCTGAAATGCCCTCTTCACACAGTCCTGAAGCTGACGCCTGTAGCTTATGGTAAGTGATGCAGCTACTGCCAAGATACACTCCCCTGTGCCTGCGGTTCCTGGTGGCTGTGGAGCTTTCAGTAGGGGCCACCCCTTGTTAACAGAAGCTGTGCTCTTTGCCCTCCCCGTGTCCCAGGTTGCCGAGTGGAATCCATCTATTTGAATGTGGAGTCAGTGAACACACACCGGGAAAGGTCAGAGGTAAGTGTGCCTCCCACTCCCTCAGCATCCCCACCTTGTCCTTCGTCATGCGAAGGACTTCTGTGGAGTAAGGGACCAGTGGGCTTATACACTTAAGAAGAATGAAGTCTTGATTGAGTTGCATGTGAACCTTTCAGCTGGTTCTCACTATAGTAATTTTTTTAGTTGTAAAAAAATACATAACCCAACATTTGCCATGTCATCATTTTTCATGCGTACAATTCAGTGACATCAGTCATGTGGTCGCTATCGTAATTTGTTCGAAATAGGCCTGCTGACTTTCTCTCCTCCTTTTTCTCTGTGGCTTCTGGGAGCTTTTTCTTTTTTTTTCCCAGCGCTCTCTTTCCCCATTTCTACCTGACTTGAGAACTGAGTATTAAAGAGGAAGATACATTTTCCTCTTTTAAAAATAACCAAAGCACAATCATTGTTGCCTGTTCCGTTCAGGCAGCTACAACTGTATTTTCAGGTTGCAGAGTTACTGGTTAAAGCAGGATTAGGTATCAGCTTAATTCATCTGTATGTGCTTAGGTACAGAGCTACCAAGATGATGATGACACAGAAGAAAAAGGAAGTGAGACTAGAGAAAAATGGATATGACTTGGGAGTTAGAGACATAAAGGATGGTAATGGGAAGGGTTTTTTCAAGGGACCCCAGTGTTTGGTTTTGTGTGACTTCCACCCCAGGAGATCTGACATTTGGTGGTCCGTCAGGTGAAATCTCTCACCAAGCAGATCAGAGTTCTGCCCAGGCGTATGTTATGAAAATACCTTTGAGTTAGCATTATACAGGCTGTCAAGACAGAATGCTTTGCCACTATTAGTCTGACACTTCCTTGTACGTCAAGTGTGCATTCTGTGCATGGAGGCCCCAAAACAGTTGATTTCCCTGTTGCCAAGGAGTTCGGCTACAAGATTTTGGCATTAAGGGGATGTATGTGAGATGTCGGCTCAGTTTACTCTCACTAGCAGTTGTTGCCTGGCTGGCTGAGCACCTGCCTCTGACCACCTCTTTCAGATGTGGTGAACCGGCTGCTATGTTGCCTTCAGTCATGTGAGGAGCAGCCCTGGCCGGGGAGGGTGTGGCTGGTGTGGGCTCTCAGCTTGGCTCCAGTCTGCTGCCCCAGTGCTTTGGTCGGGCCTGAACTCTGCTCCGATGGTCCCTGAGTGCTGCCCTGGGGAGGACTGGGCAGGGTCATGGCAGATGCAGACCAGGACTTAGACTCCTGGGCCACGAGCTACAGAATGACAGGCTGCAGGACTTCAAAGCCCCCTCTGCTACTAGGTAGGAGAGGTCCGCCTCATCTGAGATAATGGGCTTCACGTTCTTTTTAAGCTTTTCCAGAAGGAGGGCCCACCCTCAGTTCATAGCAGCCTGTTATGTTAATCACAAGGCTAGTCTTTGGGCCTGGCTGGTGGGTTCTGCTTCCCTCAGGTTTTCTGTGTCTTTAGTTTTGTGGCTGATTTTGAACCCTTCATTTCCTGTCCTAAATCAGGGCATTTATGTGGAGCATGAGTTGTCCCACGTGTATGTACTCTGCAGAAAGGGAGGGCTCCTGGATCCTGGACTAGCTGGTCAGTGGAAGGGAAGCCAAGCAGATATGCCTTTTCCTCTCTTCAGTTCTGTGCCTGCCCCTCTGTGGTTACCAGTGCCTTGCCTCCTGTATTCCTCATAGCCAGCTCTCTCTCCTCCTATACTACCCCCTCCCTGTGCCTTTCTCAAAGTCCAGAAGCAAGGCTCTCTTCTTGGACTTTGCTGCTGTCATTACATAACTTGTTTGTGTTGAACCAAAGTGCAGAATTTTTACTGGTATTCTTCCCTCACCTGCTGCATCTTCTGTACTTTGCACACGTTCATTTGCCCTTGTCCATGTGGTGTCTTTTAAAACAGTCCAGGAAAGGAGCATGAGAGGAAGTCATCCCCTGTTCTTGAAGCTGAGGGTCATAGGATAGGACAAACTGCAACTCCATGATCCCAGGGCCTTCCCCTTGGTCAGTCTTGTTTCACTAGAACCCAGAAATAGAGAAACATTTTTTTTTATTTTTGCTTATTTACCTCCCCCCTCCTTGTAACTGTCGCCTTCTCTCTTTTGTCTTTGTCTTGCTTAGGATGCAAAGAAGGGACCTAACCCGCTCATGAGACGCAATAGTGTCACCCCACTAGCCAGCCCTGAGCCCACCAAAAAGCCTCGCATCAACAGCTTTGAGGAGCATGTGGCTTCTACTTCTGCTGCCCTGCCCAACTGCCTGCCCCAGGAGGTGCCCACGCAGCTGCCTGGACAAGTTAGTTGATTCCCTTTGCCTTCTGTGCAGTCACGTCGCCTACCTGTGGGTAGGGAGGAGAGCACCCCGTGGGGCCTCAGACACAGGGGATTGGAGTGTGTGTGTGTGTGTGTGTGTGTGTGTGTGTGTGTGTGTGTGTGTGTG